TTCATTTGGTTTGATCCTTTGAAAAACATCCACATGATTCATCTGAACTTGTCTTGTGTCTTTAGGCAAGACACTTCGACCACATTCCCCGCTCCAGACACAGAAACGAGGCTGGTTGTGAGTGGAAGGGCATCCGACGTAAAAATCCACCAAATGACTGTGCCAAGTCGATAATGTGAAGTGATGAATACCTTAATACATGAAGTGAAGGACATTTGGAGCAGATTTGGAGTCGCCGCTACTTGAAAATGCATGTCTACACTGTCCAAACAAATGAGTCAATAGAACCACATGACTTTTTGTACAATAAGTCTCATTTTGTTCAATATTTGTACACAAGCATTTCATAAACAGTAACCAAGAGCCACGTGAACATCATTTTACACAAATACATCCAAAAGATCCAAATAAAGCTACTGGGAGTCACAAGGCTGCAATTTAGGAAGACATCATTTTGTGTGACACTTGGATTCTATTTGATGAGTGGTTTTAAAGCTGCATTGTGTCACTTTTCTGGTAGATGGACCTCCACCTGCTCGTCTCATGGAGATGTTATTGCACTGTCTGGAATGTTCCACGTTCAACTTGTAGATCTTGTGTTTGAATGGCTTCAAATCACTTGAAAAACATGCACTCTTACAGTAAGCGGGCTCGCCTCTCCACAGATTTGACCTGTAACTCGGCCTGGTTATTGCTCGTCTACATGGAGACGAGCAGCCAGAAAAGTGACACAGTGCAGCTTTAACTTGATTTCATTCACTTTGAAGGTTTCAGTTCTTTTCAATAGTTTGAAGGTTTTCCAAAAGGTTTCAGCACATTTTCATTTCCATTCATATCTGCCAGTGAAAGAAATGGACGATCATTAAGTTTGAAATGACAAAATGATTCAAACGTCCAAAATCTTCAAACCAAATGTGTAGCAACTCCTTCAATAAATAGAGTTCAAACTAGTGAAACAAATGCAGTTATTTCAAGTGGATTTTGGTGGAGACAGGGCTGTTTTGAGCTGCCAGAGGATTTTTGGCTCAATCGGTTGCTTTTTTCTCCCTAAAAAACATGAAATGAATCCATCCAAACCAAGGCTCCGTTCAGGACAGAGCCGGAGGGTAAGGCCCGTGGAGCGGCGAGGGGCGCTCTGCTGCCCCCTGGTGAGATGAGGTAACATGACAGCCTCAGTGTTTCCTGTACACATTTGGACTGAGACTATGGTGGCACTGGTGATACCAACTGAACCCTTTTCATTCCATTTTTGTGGAGCTCAACTTTGAATTCATGCTTCTACACTTGATTCAATTTAAAATCACTTGAATTCACAACATTTGTTAGTATTTTAAACTGAATTTATTAAGTTAGGAAGTCAAAATTTGCAGATTTGCAACATTTTATTTCAGATGTCACATTTTGAGCCAATGGAAAAAGTTGTATTTTGTCACATTTGAGGTGAAGGAAGTGAACTTGGAATATGAAAGAATATTTCAAACTTTTCATTCACAATTTAGCTTAAAATAAGAACAAAATATTCTGGGACCAGCAAAAGAGGAACATAAAACTTAATTTACAAACCAAAAACTGTCCCAAAACTCAAAATAAATATTCTGAATTCAAGTCATTTTAATGTTGTTTTTTGCAGTGTACTTTGTCTTTAAAATTCTTCTTTTTACCGTGTGGTTGATTTTCTCCATGAATAATAATAATAAGTATTTTGTTTGTCCCAGGAGGCCACCAGGATTGTAAGCAGAAGAGAAAGATCAGGTTTGTGTAGATGTGAACTCAAAGAAAGAACAAATGTTGACTCAAATCTAACATCTTTTCTTTGGTGGTACTTGGTGTGAAACGTTGGAGCCACTGGTTTATACTTTTACTAGTTTTATGGTTTCACTTAAATTTGACACTTTTTCTGTTAAGACTCATTATTTTCATTTTGTTTCATCTTGAGTGTCATTTATGTAGTTTTAGACTTTCCACTGACGTCAGTTTTGAAAATAAAATAAAAAGGTGTGTCTGCATCTCAGGTATGAACAGTCACATGACACGTTTATCAGTTCAGACCAAGACCAGGAAATGTTGAGTTCAGTTCAGAGACACAGAGGGAGAAGGATCCATCTGAACGACCATTTCAGCCTCCAAAATTCAACAACAAAGAAACTCCAGGCTTCTACTTGAGCTGTGAAACCTGCTCTGGACTTTGGTGAGTGGAAAGACACTTCTGTTACGGCAGCAGAGAAAGTGAAAGTAGATGCTGCAGTGGGGGATGGGACCCAGGATTGTGGAACTCAAGATACAAACTTAAAACTGCAGATCAGATGAAACTAAAGGAGACTTAATAAATAAATGAAAACAACCAAATCCACCTTCATGACTCGAGTGAGTCCTGACACTTATGGAACCACATTATTTTACTGTTGATTTCTTTTTCTGCATTTGAAGTCATATTTATCTAGTTTCCTGTAACAGGGTTCAGAATTTTATTATTGATTTTCAGTAGAAACAGGGTCATGACTCGAAGTCTTTGTGTTTGTCAGTGCCGTATGTTACTGTTTTTTTTTTTTTTTTTCTTTAAATGGCTCTGAAAATATGGTGTGATGACAAAGTGGAGTTAATGTGATTAAATGAGTTTCAGAAGCTGGACCATGCCTCAGTCTCCTCTCCAACCAACCACAGCTTATCTCAACCAGCTCTGTCAGCTCTGTCGACTTGAAGTCGTTAACAACCCGTCAGTTTCAAACACCGATCTGTCACCCATTCCTAGTTCCTTCCAGTTTGCGATTTCCTCACGCTGCGATGTATACCATGACGATCCCATGCAGGGACCTGCAAGAAGATAGACCTTCCATCACATGTCTGCTCTGTGGTAACGTGTGCCGAGTTGGAGGGGGCATTTCCGCATATGAAGGCTTGCTTCATTTAGGAGAGGAGCTGAAATTTTGCATCCAGTAGATGTTCTACTAGAGCAAATGAAGCTTCAAGAAGCTTTGCGCTGGAGTGAACCAATTGGATGAAAGGTTTCAATGTTTCATGAAGCTTCATCTGTCCATCACTACACAGTGGATTTCTACCTCCAAGGTGTGTTGTGTGTCCACTGTCAATACCTTTGTAGCTGGCAGCATCTATGGGGTATCCACATTATTCTCCTAGTCCGCCTCCCCCTCCTCGTTAACCTGGCAGTTGTTTGGTGCAGCCCGACCCCAAGTGACCAAGGCATTTGGCACGGCCCAGCCTCCAGTGACTGTGGCGCTTGGCGCGGCCGGCCCTGGCAACCACGGCATTCAGCTTGGTCCAGCCTCCAGCCACTACGGCACTCAGGCAATCACCGCTTTTGGCGTGCGAGGCACCCAGCGTGCTCCTTCAGGCTGACAACACATCATGTTAGAACTGACATCAAAGATGGTCACTCAGAAGAGGAAAGCACCCACTTAGCTGATTCATCTACAACCCTTTGGGTCAGGAAAGTAACCTGAGCACTATGAACTACCTTCTGTGTTCTGCTCAGTCTTCTCTGAATCCCCCCGCGTCCATCTCACCTGCTTCTACAGCCCCCCCCCAGTGGGGGACAGGTCCCTTCCCTTGAGCAACCCCCTTAATGTTCTTCTTATGATGTTGCACGAGGCACCACGTACACTCTCACTGTTCTCGTTCACACTCTGAAATGTTATTCCGGTGCATTTGTTTGCTCAACCTGCTCATCTCAGTATCTACTGCCATCCAAGCTTGTGCCACTCAGCTAGCTCACGCTACTCCAACCCACACAAGCTCAATCATCTTTACGCCCGCTCTCTGCTATTCCAGTATTCAGCTCCCATCCACTCTCATCACTCACTCTTTTCTAGCTAGCACCGCCAGACCAGGCAAGCTCATGCAATTTCATCACATGCTAGCTTAAGCTGTCATTATAACTGCTCATATTTCGGCCCTTGTCTTGAGTATTACAGCTTGTGCTGCTCATGTTTTCATCACATGCTAGCTTAAGCCACTGCTAATCATGTGTTCATGCTAGACCGGCCCTTCCACCTCAGCCCTCACCCCAGGTTATGCACCCAAAAACACCATCTCTGTTCACTACCTCACACTGCATCGAGAATTCTGCCATTGATAACGGCTCATGACTACTCCACTGTTCTATCCTTCTCCTTTCCAAGTGATGCTCTCGCTATCTCGTCCTCACCTCGAGCCGCTCACGCTACGTCATTGCAGTCTTTTATTAATCTCTGCTCTCACGTCACGACGACTCACACATCTCCACATTTACATTCTTGCATCCATCCATCCACCGCCCAGCGTCCAACCTGTAGCTGCCCCGCAAACACCCACAGCATGCATCTCCATCTATCAGGTCCTCAGCCGTTCCACGGGTCCTGAGTCGTTCCACGGAACGAACCTTGTCTTCACAAATATTCTTCCAGCTTAGTTTTCATCAGTGCTCGAGTTCTAATCTTTTAACTTCTCCATTGTTCCGAGATGGTCCTTTCTTTCCTTGGTCAATCTCACTTGACTTGTTCATCCACCTTCCAAGGACTGCTTTTCAGGCAACATAATTCCTTCCACCACACTAACCAAGCCATGCAACCTTGCACTCATATCTCTCCTCCTGGTTCACATCTGTCTCCTCCACGCTTTCTGACCAGTCCACTAAAGAGAATCCTTCGTTTGGCCAGAATCTCCTCTTACTATTCCCACGATTCATGTCAGAGCTGCCTCTTTGGGCCAGACAGCCATTCCTATGCATCATTGTGTGTCCTTCGACAGTCAGTCCTCCTGTGTCCACCTTTTCATATGTTCATTAATTGCTCTACCAACTCCTTAGCTTATTCCTTATTTACAAATTTTAATCCATCTTTGGGGGTTCCGAATCAGCTGGGTGACCATATTGGATTGGAGACAGAGTCCACCCTGAGTCTCCCCCCAGCCATCATATCTATCCAGTGTCAATAAATATCTTTATTGTATAACAACGTTGTGGCATGGTCCTTACTGGTGAATTGTGTTTTCTATTTAGAGACAAAATGGCTTCCAGGCTGGAGGAGGACCTGACCTGTCCCATCTGCTGTGAGCTCTTCAGAGAACCTGTGGTTCTGTCCTGCAGCCACAGCTTCTGTAAAGTCTGTCTGCAGAACTGGTGGAGGGACAAACCCATAAAGACCTGTCCACTTTGCAACAGAAAGTCGTCAAGGGACATTCCTCCCATGAACCTGGCCCTGAGGAACCTGGTGCAGACGTTTGCAGAGCAGAAAAAGCAGACCCCTTCAGAGCAGAGAGAGCAGACCCCTTCAGAGCAGAGAGAGCAGACCCCTTCAGAGCCTCTGTGCAGTGTTCACTCAAAGAAGCTCCGGCTCTTCTGTCTGGACCATCAGCAGCCGGTGTGTGTGATCTGCAGAGACTCCAGGACTCACAAAGACCACAGGTTTAGTCCCATGGAGGAGGCGGCCGAGGACCTGAGAGAGCAGCTGAGGACGTCCATCAAGCCTCTGCAGGACAAACTGCAGGTACAGACTCTTCACCTCTGGAACTGTGTTTGTGTTCATGTTTCTGTTTGTCATTATACATGCAAGGACCTTCCAGGACCTTCTTGTTAAGAGGAGAGAGTGCTAACCACTCTGCCATCGTGCCTCCATGTGGAGCCTCCCTCTCCCCAGACACCTCCTGGTGTTATTAGAGCCTTTAGAAGCGTGTGAGGAGCAGCTCACACAGACCACTGTCAGAGCAGACTTACTGCTGATCAGAGGCTCAACTGTGTTCACTCACATTCATCACACTAATGTGTCAGGGCCCCACAGACCAGAGGGCTGCTTCTGTCTGATTCACTCGGACTCTTTCTGTGCAGGTTCTGACTGGGAGGAAAGAGCAGTTTGAAGACGCCGCGGCTCATATCACAGCCCAGGCTCGACAAACAGAGGCACAGATCCGACACCAGTTTGAGAAACTGCACCAGTTTCTGTTGGAGGAAGAACAGTCCAGGATGAAGGCTCTGAGGGAGGAGGAGGAGCAGAAGACTCACAACATGAAGGACAAGATGGCCACCGTGAGCAGACAGATGGAGACTGTGTCCAAAACCATCACAGAGACAGAGGAGCAGCTGAGGGCCACAGACATCTCCTTCCTGCTACAGTACAAGTCTACAGTGGAGAGAGTGCAGCGCCGCCCCCTGGTGGAGGAACCACAGATGGAACCTGGAGCTTTGATCGACCAGGCCAAACATCTGGGCAACCTGGACTTCAACATCTGGAGGAACATGAAGAGACTGGTGAAGTTCTACCCTGTCATTCTGGATCCAAACAGAGCAGATCCTGAACTCATCCTGTCTGAAGATCTGAGCTCAGTGAAGAGTGGAGAGAAACAGAAGCTTCCACAGAATCCAGAGAGACGTAAAGGTCACATTGTATTTGGATCTGAACTGTTTACATCAGGGACTCACAGCTGGGACGTGGAGGTCGGGGACAGTAAGAGATGGTCTGTAGGTGTGATTGGACCTGTTCAGAGACGGGGAAAGACTGAGAATGTAGATTGTTTCATACTTTTCATTGATGGTAAATACTCAGCCTGTTCTCTCCCAGACACAGTTAAATCACTCTCTGTGAGGAGGAGTCTGCAGAGACTCAGAGTGAAGCTGGACTTTGACAGAACAACGGTGACCTTTAGTGACCCCGACACAAACACTGACCTGAACACATTCACAGAGACTTTCACTGATGGACTGGTTCCTTATTTAATCACCAAAGACAACATCCCCCTGAAGATTTTACCAAAGGACGTCACTGTAAACATGTAAATATTGAAACTTCAAGAGGAGGAATTATGCAAAACAACTTTTAGGAGTTTTCTACCATGTTATAGTGATGTTGGCTTTTCAAAAATGATGGATCTCAGTGGAACTTTAGCAATAACATCGACACCAAGTGACAAAAACATGTCTAATGAGGTTTTATATATCATCTATGGATGTTTGAGCAATTTAGATATCTCTGGGGCCGAATTCACGCCGCCTGTAATGTGATGGTGCTCTGAAGGGGGAGTGACTTAGTGACAGAGGCACAAAGGGGAGACTTAAGAACAATTTATCATCATGCATCAAATTGCAGAGCGTCTGTGTCGACCAGCGTGCACCTCTGACATTTTGTAACCACTGAACCGATGCAGACAGCAGAGGGAAGCCACGCAGACAGTAAGGGCTGTGATTGGTTCTCTCTACATCTGCTCTACACACACATTTTTGGTACTGCACTTTCTTGCTTCATTTTCTATACACAAATGCAATCCTATCCTCCTCGAGTTGTAGCGGTGAATTACTTTGTGGTGCATAGAACTCAACGCAGATCCATAAATCAAAAACCAAGGCGACGGCAGCGATAAGTTGACACAGAAGTACAATTTAGCCTTTAGAGAGACAAAAACTAAACTAAAATGCATTAAACATGTTCATGTGTTATTTTTGGTGAATATTACATTTTCCAAACAATCAAAGGAAACATGGTGATGTAAATGTGTTGTGAGTTTGCAGTTCATCCTCCAGAGAAGTGGAATAATACTCCCTCTTTAAGGACTCAGGTTTCTCTCACAGTTTTTGTCTTGTTTGAAACAGGGAAAAGGGAGGTCACAGTGTCACATTTTAGTCTCATCATTACTACTGTTTTCAATCCATGATTTCCATTGTTCTTTTCAAATCAAGACAAAAATATGATGCAACAGCTTCAAAAATAGGATCATGTCATGTAAAGGTGCACTATGTAGATTTTCAGCTGGAGGGTTCATCACCTGCTTGTCTCCATGGAGATGTTATTGCCTCTAGTTTCACAAAAGAAAAGGCAGTGCCAAAGAAAAGCATGTTTTTAGCCAATAGTCGTGGTTTATTGTTTTTTGAAGTGGACCAAGTTAGTACAAGTTTTGATATGGTCATCTAAGCTATTTCAGAAATTTGCTCCACGTCTGGTAACACACATGCTTTTGAGAGTTGTTCAAGAGAACTGTTTTTTGTGTGTGTGTAATTTAAACAATACATCTGTGTTACTTTACTTAAAGAATTTCCCAAACCTCTACACAGTAACTTGGGGTAAGATAAAAGTACAGTACAAGTAGTTTCTTATTTAGGAGGAATTTGGATTTGTTCCTCAAGGCTCTAACTTTTGCAATTTTAATTTTATAAATGTTGGGTTTACCAAGAAATGTGTGTTCAAATACTCTTTCTATTGTTACATTATCAATTTGAATTAGTGTTTGCAGATTTATTTCATGGTTTCTAAAGAACATTGCTCTTGTTTTCATGATATTTAGAGACAGTTTGTTTTTAGCAAACCACACTTGGAACTTTGCAATTTGTGTCGTCTTGATCACTAATCTTTGAAGATCCTCACCTGAACACAGAACTGTTGTATTGTTCGCAATGAGAACTAATTAAAGTTTTTCACAAACTAAGTACAAGTAATTTATATATAAAAGAGATAATCTGGGGCCTAGCACAAATCCCTGTGGGACACCACAGACAATGGTTTCACATGTGGATTCGTGCTGTTCCTATTGCACACACTGCTTTCAGTTTGTTAAGAATCAATCCTCTGATCCCATATTTTTGTATCTTTTGTAAGAGTATGCTGTAGTCCACCGTGTCGAACGCTTTCTGTAAGTCTATGAATATCCCAGTTGAATACTTTTTTGAATCAATATGTGTAGGCCACTCTGCCACAGCACGAACCTTCTCTGGATCTGTCCTCACTTGTCCTCTTTCAACAATGTGCAGTAGAATTTGTTAAATTCACATTTCTCACTTTTGACAAATAGTTTAATCTCCAGTAACCTTGGCAGAATCTGTTGTACGGGGAGTGTGCTCTTCCTGGGAGTGTGAGAAAATGAGAATGTCGTTGAGGTAGACAAACACAAACTGGTTGAGGAAATGAGGGCTCGGTCCCGGCAGCGTTCACCAATGGGGTGATTTAGTTTAACTGTTGTAAAAAATGAATGATTTTGTAGATCCACATAATCATTCATTTAACAGCAAGTTCATCCTTCAGTTGTTCACTAAAGCCAATAACAAAAACACTCATGAGATCTGTGTTGTCCCAGTCTGTTTCAGCTGCTAGAGTCTTGAAATCAACAGAATATTCTGCTACACTTCTCGTCCCCTGGTGCAGATTCAACAGTCTCTTTGCTGCCTCTTTAGCTACAAAAACTTGATAATTTTTACAATATCGTTGTTTTCCCAAACAGCTGAAGCCCAGGCTAAGGTCTTACCTTGTAACAATCCCATTACAAAAGCTATGTTCGAGCTATCGAAGGCATAAGCTCGGTTGGTAGAGCATTCGCCCACTGATCTGAAGGTTGGCGGTTCGAATCCCGCTCTCAACATAAACATCATAGGTTGAGAGGTCAGATCCACTGACCCACAGGTTGGCTGATGTGATTCCAGCTCCCACCGATGAATGCTGCCGTTGTGTCCTTGGGCAAGACACTTAACCCACCTTGCCCACAGTGTCTGCGTACACTGGTGTGTGAATGTGTGTGTGAATGGGTGAGTGGTTCCTTGTTGTAAAGAGCTTTGAGTGACTTGGAGGTGGAAAAGCGCTATAGAAAAATGTGACCATTTACCATAAGTGACCAGTTTTGGAGTAAAAAAATATCACTGAGCATTGGAGAAGAAAAATCACCACATTTACCCATGTCACCTGCATAATGTTCAGGATCTGGAACATGTGACTCGTGGGTTTGGTGACTATGTGAAGCTGAAGCAGAGGAAGGACCAGGTGAAGGTTGTACAGCAGGAGCAGCAGCAGACTGAGTCAAAGCAGCAGTGAGATTCTGCAGCAGGACACCAAGTTGGACAATCTGAGCAGCTGACGACTGTTGGTTTTACATAAAAGACTTTAGGAGGGAGTCATGTGTTCAACAGTTGGTCTTGACTGGAAACTGCTTGGAGAATAGAGTTTGAGTCCGCTGGGTCCATGTTTAGATCAGTTTGTACTGTTATAAAGCACAGATCCAGGACCCAAGAGCAGAACCAAAACTCAGGTGAAGTAAAGAGATTCATTTTACAGGTGTGACAGGAGCTGGGAGGAGGTTTGTATGTAAATGCAGTATCCTGGTTACTGTCACATAAAGAGCTGCACTAAACCTGCACATGTCTGAAAACATGAACCATCTCCAACACGACACACACACAGAACACACTCATCATCATCATCATCATCATCATCATCATCATCATCATCATCACTCTGTCACAGAGAGAACACTCAGATTCCACTGAGTCATGTCCTTTAGACTGACAGAAGCTGAACTGCATCAGTGACACAAGGAAAGAGCAGTTTTGTTTTTTTTTAGCACTTATAGTTTATGCAGATGAGTCATGTGGTTTTAAGTTTTGTTTGTGTAAAACATAAAAGTGTCAGAGCTGCATTAAACACATGATAATGTCAAAGGGGCTGATGTGGTTCTAGAGTGTTTATGTTTATATGTTGTAAAGTTTATTTATGCAGATTAGTAATAGTAATACTAATGATGATCATTTTAATATAAAAACATTAATGATTAATCAAAAATCGATTGTTAATTCTCCCGATGATTGATTAACAAAATTTGATCAAATGCCCATCCATAAAAATCACCCTTCCAAAGATCAAAAAAGACCTTCCCCTTCTACATCAACAAAATTAAGTCAGAGAGAAAGAAAAAAAATATTCTGCTGTGTGGGATCATTTTGATCTTTTAACAGCAAATAAGGCAACTGTATTTCCTTGTTTCCACTTGGTCTATCAGAATAAAAAAAAAAAAAAGAAAAAACACACACACAGCATTATGACTATAATATGTATAGTAATAATGTAAAGAAGGGAAATAGCGTCCAAAAAAATAAATAATTTAAAAATTAAAATTAAAAAAACGCAAATCGACTGAATACCAAAACACTGGAACAACTTCTTTTTTGAATCTAAAAAATAAAAACTCCTTGACTCAAGAATATTTAAATTGGTAAATTACAATCACAACATTTTCACTTAAACGTTCACATAAGATATAAAATAATACCATTGGAAATATAATAACGTAAATAATATTGTGTATACAAGTATGACTTGGTCTTTGAATCAGTGTGTGTCTTGTGAGTCTCAACTAAGTTTCCTGCAATGATGTAAACCTTAAGATCCAACAGGTGTCAGTATAGAGCACAGCAACACTGTACCTGCACAGAGTCAATGCAGTTTGGGACTGTGCCCAAACACTTCACGAGGCCTCAGCTCCTCACCAATAGTCACGAGACGAGCAGGTGAGTAGAGATGACAGATCCAGGGAGCACAAGAGTGTTAAAGTGCTCAAGTGTCAGGGAGTGGAGGAGAAGCGGCTGATCTGGGCAGGAGGAGGTTGGAGATGATCTCAGGTGTGTGATGACTAAGGCTGCGTTCACACTGCAGCCTGAAGTGACCCAAATCCGATTTTTTGGCTTCTATGTTCCTGTATCTGATCTTTTAATGACAGTCTGAACGACACAGATCTGATTTTTTTCAAATGTGACCCAGGCCACTTGGATATGTGCTCCTGAAACTGATACATATCTGATCTTTTGACATGCGACTTCAGTCTGAACGGCCAAAGTGCATTCATCCGACAGACACGTCATCAACAAGCCACAAATGTCACTATTCTGCGCTGAAGCAGGCGAAAACCGGAACTGTACAATCGCCAGGTGCTCAATGCTCGCGTCCATGTTTGGACAACTTCCGTAAACACAGAGCACGCTCGCTGCGGTTGACGCATGGGGTTGACGTCATCGTGTCTCCAGTGCACATGCAGGACACTTTCAGGCCATTTTACCGTTCACACTGGAGTCACAGACAAGTCGCATTTAATTGGAAATGTGAACGACCTCGCAAAAAACATCGGATTTCACAAAAAATCGGAAATGAGCATTAAGCCCTGCAGTCTGAACGTAGCCAGAGGCTGCAGCTGGTGTTGTGAGGCGACTCCTCCCACCTCAAACACACAAGGACAAACTGGACGATCAGGACAAATTCAATGACTTGATGTCTGGTGAATTTAGTCTCCAATTTTCCTACATTTTTATCTACATCTACAATTATCGACATGTTTTATATATTTTGTTGAATATCGAGCACAAAAACAGGCAGTGATCACTAACATCAGTTACTAAGATCCCACTCCGCACGTCTTTTGATTAACTTGATTCATTTTTATTTCGAGTTT